CATTCTGTTAACCATTTCTGATCAAATATACAATTATTATACAGTACGTAATGTATTTGGCAAACTTATGCGCAGCGGTGATCTTAAAGACTTATTATAGTAGCGCGTGGCACCCATCATATCTATGCCTATCTGAAACTCTTCGTATGATTATTGTTTACCTACTGTATAAGGAAAATTCCAATAGAAAATAGAAATTTATTGATTTTAATGTAACTCATTGAACTGGAAACAAAACTGCACAACGATTATGATTCACAAATGCCCTTAAGGAAAGTTTCAATAACAATAGTGATCTATTGATTTTGAATGCAATTTATTGAGTTGAAAACAAAGCTGTGCAATAATAATGCATGACGTGACAACCTCCGACCTTCGCAAGTGTCTATAAGGAAAGTTGTAATAGAAATAGGAATTATTAAATTAAATTAAGTTATTCAACCTTATTGACAACAAGTTGGTGACTTTCTTCTTGTTGCTATTAAGGTAAACAGACGGTCGCACATTCATTTTTGCATTCAAAGTGTAACCTTGTTTACTAAGTAGTATCTGTCATTGAGTTCAAATAAAACCTATTTAGCTTATTGAATCAATAAATAATATTCAACATTTTTGTCCCCTTCAAAGAATTTTGCCAATACACGAACTTTTGGCGTACACATATTGATACCGCCACGTATGCACTTTGGCCTTACATAAGTGCATATGTAAATTGGATCGAGTCGAATCATGACTTTGATAAAGTTCTTTATAAATAAAGCGTATCGAAAATGTACATCTATTAGCATTCTAAAGAAAATGAGCAAATCAACCTCTGAAGATTGCCGGATTTCGATTGATGAAGATGAAAAAACTTCACACGTCGATGCCAATAATCCACATAATGGAAAGAAAATAAACAATCCACATAATGGAAAGAAGATAAGCAATCCACATTATGGAAAGAAAATAGACAAAGTTGTTTTCTCACCAAATATGGACTATGTTGCAACTGCGAGTTTTAATGATCATTCGGTTTGCATGTGGGAGTTTACGAACGGAGAAAAAGGAGAGCTCGAATTAATACCATATTATTCCTTTAACCTTATTGAAACGGTTTTAGGGGATCCAATTTGCATCTCAAATTCCGACACAATTCTTACAGGAAACTTTATTAAGGGTTCTTACATATACGGTAAGTTTGGCATTCTTCCTAAAGTTGTAATTATGTCTTTTTTAATAACGCATATAATTATTTCAATAGAAACTAGAGATTGTAACAGTGAAGATGCAGAAAAATTATTAGATGGCAGAGATCACGAAAACGCTTTAGTAACTTGTGGATTTCTTACAGATGGAAAATTCGCAGTTGTTGAAAGGGAACCTTATCAGGTTCACATCTATTCTAAAGTTGGAGGGAAGTGGTACGGCACGAGTGACGTTAAACTCGTTAAATTTCAACATGCCGTTATTTCTCAGGATAGAGTGTTGATTCTCATAGATTTGCCTTTTGTAATCATGCAATGGAATCTGAGAACACAAAAGTTTGAGAAACAATACGAATTGGATTGGAGTTTGGCCGAGTATCGAAAAGGTATTCTAATGGAACTAAGCAATG